ATAAAAACGTTTTATAAATTTTTATTTTGTCAAATGTATTAGTCCTATAAACATAATTACTATATTATAAAAGATACATTTCAATTAGTACACAAATTTTTAAATTTTGCAATATACATATGTATTTAAGATCGACTATTTTCTCTTTTGTTTCATTATTTCATCAATCTTTTGTTAGTTAAAAATATCAATTTGGAAAGGTTAAATCCATTACAAAATTAATCTTCTCATTTTAAATTCCCTGTAACACTACATAAAAATCTAAATATAAAGTAAAATATGCGTAAGTTGTATCACTAACGTATTTATTGTAATTTGATACCATTTCTGAGTAGATAAGTAAAATAACATTGTTACAGATAAAACAAGTCCGAAATGCAATATAAAACTATGCTCAAACAACGCTGTTCCACCCTCCTCAGTAGTTCACGCTTGTCTTGGTCCATCCTTGGCACAAATATTTTTCGATTACGCTCATCATGATACGATAAAGTTGTTGGACTTATTGACATCTTCAAAAAGATCGAAAGCATGTTTCTCAGACACATCCTATGATCATTTACGTGAAAGCACATTTTTACCGCCAACAGATAATCAAATCACAAAAGCATTCGTTCATCAAAATATACTAGGTAACACTACAGAAAAAATTAAACGCATTATACATGACTGTAATTTCGTATAAAATCGTTAGAAATAGGCGAAACCATCTTGCAACGTGTTAAAAAGCAAATTGAAGAGAGTCTGAGAGAAAAAATAGAGAGGCAATCACGCGAGAAATTTTATATGTACCAAGCGAAAAAAAGGCGGGAAATCGAGCTGATTACGCAACAAATGCACGAGAAATATGAGGAATATATTGATGTTGTTCGGGAAGAGTTAGAGAAACAACTTGAAGTAACAATCTTCATTATAATATAGATTGTTATTTCTCTAAATTATATGTAAAGAAAGCATAGAAGGACATGTTACAAAAATTAGAGTGCATTTTAATGGAGCAAAACATTTCATTTTACGTTAACTGAAATTTGCAATTTTAACCGATTATGCAATAGAAATAACAATGAAAAGAAAGTTTTATTTATATTTCTGACAGGAGGAATGTTTGTTTTGGATACAAAAGTAACGAATATAATATTTCAAAGTTACGTAATTCTTAAAATAATTGAATTGATTGCAAAACAATATTTTGTTTTAGTCTAATAGTATTAAATTACGTTTCTTCTATTAATGTAATTAAAATATTTAAATAGATTTTTTGTTTTAAATTATCACTACTTCAAGTAAAGACTGCATTTATGTATTGATAATGATAATTATCGCTTTATTTGAAGTAATAAATATACAGAGAAAAAAGAAATAATTTTACTTCTCAGATAGAATGGTCGATAGTGGCCGCAGAGTGTGCCAAGAACACTCAAAAAGCAGTTGTGCAAGAACGAATAAAAGTAGTAAACGAAATGATGGGAAAAATGCGTGCGGAAATGACTTACGTTGTACAGTCACTATATAAAGAATTTGAAGAATCGTTTTGCGCACAAAGAGACACTATAATTGCCGATTTTAATCAAATCATGAGGTTCATATTTGCGTATCCGTAAACAACGCTTTTACATAATTAATCTGAAATCAAATTTGCACAGGTCGAAGCATGTACAATTAAAAAAAGAAATGCAAGAGTTCGAAGAGAAAGTAAGCAGAGAATTGCACGTTCAGAAGCGTCAGTTTGAAATGCAGAACACTACAGATATAATTTATGTTTTGTGCTTGGAAAGGCAACGAAGTAACAGGGAAAAGCACACCCTGCATAAATACTTTCAGGTAATGAAATTCTTCAAATCTTTTTAGTTAAGCACGAAAAAATAATACATGCAAAACTATGTACAAAAACAGCAACAAATCAAAGGATTCCACGATTTGATCGTTCGCCTGGATCATGTAATTGCCGCTATTAGGGAAGAAATTGTTAATTGTCACGCGGAGAAGAAATTATTGGAGGAACAACTTTCCAATGTTACTAAACATTTTCAGAAGTTTATTGATTTCACGTTTAATGCTATGCCAGGGCAAGCTGAATTTTTGTTACCATTAGAGTTACAACGATTGATTAATTTAAACAACAATAAAGAAGAAAAAAGTAAAGAAGCAAAAAATTAGCAGAATAATAGGAAAAACATTAAAATTGTTATTGTCAGGTGTGTGATATACTGTTGAAATTCTGTTATGTATTGAACGTCTTTTTGAAAAATAAAAAAATAAAAGTTTAG